GTCCTCGTTGCGCTCATAAACCAATTCAATCATATTCCAGAATCTTCCCCTGCTAAGTGCCCGCTCGATATCCAACGGATCAACACACTGTCGCAGGGTTACCCTGATACCACCTGTAACACCCCGACCCCGCAACACCCGAAGTAGTTACCCCACTAGCCTTTTCCGCACACTTTGTCCTCACTCGTGTGCACCCTGAGAAAATTTCCAGAGGGTCACCCATCCCAAGACTGCTCCCGTGCAAGCACGCTTAATTTTGGAGTTCTTAGCTGATGAGCTCCCTTACAAGGAGATGCACCTTGTTGGTATGAGTAGTACTGTTAGTCCTTTTAAATTAATCTCAAGTGTTAGAGCACATTTCATCACTTTCAACAAGTTCTGGGCACGTCCCGCGGTCAACTACGCCCTGGTAAGCACTGCCATCCCATTCTCAAGAAGGGGGGTTGACCTCGTTGGACCCCTTTCAAGGGGAGCAGGCAACAACAGATACATCATTGTGTCCATTGAGTGCTTCGCAAAGTGGATAGAGGTTGAACCATTAGCAAGCATCATCGAGGCGAGGTGTAGGAAGTTTGTCCTCAAGAAAATCCCCACCCGCTTTGATGTCCCTCAGCAGATCATCTTGGAAAATGACACCCAATTGAAGGAGGCTTCTTTCCAAGAACTCTTAGTAGCCTGGGGCATAAAGCATACTTCTTCCTTCGTCGTGTTGCCTCAAGAAGAAATTAGAAGCAGAAGGAGGAAGTTGGGCTGACGATGTACACAACATACTCTGGGCCTACAGAACCACTTTGAGGCATGCTACATGTGAAACTCCATTCGCCCCATGCTACGTATTCGAGGCAAAATCCCCACCGAGGTGACCATACCATCTCTGTGGGTGGAGGAGTATGAGGCCTAGCAAAATGATGAGAATATGAGAATAGACCTCCACCTCATCTCAAAACGAAGGGAGCAGGTGTACCTCCAAGCCGAGAACTATCGCTGCCAAGTGAAGTCCTATTATGACGCCAATGTTCGCTCCAGGGAATTTTCGATGGGAGACTATGTCCTCCAAAGGCGGGAGGCAAGTCAACCAACCGAGGGTGGCAAACTAGCTCAGAAGTATGAAGGACCCTTAATCATCACCGCAGTCGTAAGCACTGGCACGTACAATCTTAAGCACCCAAATGGGTCTGGAATGCTACGATTGTGGAATGTACATCATCTGGTGTAGTTCAATCAATAAACCTAAGGCAGTGGTGACGGGCCAAGCCCCCACTCCCGAGGTTAGAGGCTCATTTACAAGCCAAACTCCTTTTGTGGGTTATTGATAGATCCTTATCCTCAACCCAGAGCCACCATCATTAATACTCCCTCCGTCCCACTTTAAGGTTCTCACACTATTTACGATGTTTGACTGACCATAAAGTTAGCAGATCCCTGTCATTAATAGAATTACTTTTAGTAAATAAAATTTACATATTCTGAAACTACATTAAAACCGTTACAAACCCTGCAAAAAATAATTTAAATTTCATAAACTTTTGATATATAAAGTAAAAGATTAAGAACAATGCACGTTGACCGGAGAATAGTGTACGGGAACCTTTAAATGGGACGGAGGGAGTATAATAATACTTCCTACACATCTCTCCAAAAGATTGAAAAGGGGAAAATTACTAAGTAGTCACCTCGGCCCCACAGTATGAAATCCATGAAAGCATGGCCCATGACAAACTTAGCACCTGGGATCACAAGCCTGCAAAACGGTTCAGGTCCCAAAGGAGACGCTTGTTGCGTTGTCCTCTCGAAATCGATGGACGACAGGCCTGCAAAATGGCTGAGATTTCGAATCACTCTTAAGACTTAAGAGTGTTTTCGAGGGGTTCAGAGCGACAACCAAAAATTTCTACTCCAACGGCCTACGATGTCGGGAACCCTTAAGTGAGGCAAAATGTCATAGGATGAGGGGCAACAAATAACCCATTTTCCAACCCACGGACCAACAAAATTCTGCAAAAAAATATCAAATACCTTCTCGCTCCGAAGAGAAAAGAGAAGCACAAAAAAAGAGGGGAGTCGAGGGTATGACGCACCGTCTATCACGAGCAATGAAAAATAGAATAAACCCCCAAGATATTTACATGTCCGGTTTTTTCACTAAGCCATATCCTCGTTGGCACCTGGGCATTCATTAGCCGGTATTTCGAAGTGTACTACAATTAGACGGGTAGACAACTTGGTGTCATTCACTAGCTACCCTGAGGGAACCTGTCCCATTGGTATATCATTTGGGAAAGACAAAAGGAATACACTCCAGACAAAAATGGCGATGTACAAAATTTGCTAAGTACAGATGATCACTTCGATATGGCTTAATGATACTCGCAAGTGGTCACCGCGGGGTCATCTAGAGGTTAGGAAAATTATACATTAAACAAGGAAGAAAATTGGCGAAGTACCAAATTGGCTAAGTCCTAATGATCACTTTGGGGAGACTGGTTCACAACCAATGGATCTTTGACAAAGTACCAAATTGGTTAAGTCCTAATTTTTCCTCAGGCAAAGATATGGATGCCCACCTCGGCCATACAAGCAAGTACTCTGAGATCACGACATCAAGGACATACAAGCATACATTCAATGAAGGAGGAAATTGACTATGTACAAAAATGCGAGGAAAAGAATGAGTCAAACGAATAGTTGGCGGATGGAAGCCAAAACGCTAGAAAACATAGTGTTTTCTTTTGTAAAATAGTTGGCGGTTTGGCCATTCCGTTGGTTTCCAAACGGAGCCAGAAAGTATTACATCGGGTGGGCACTACAACCATTTATAAAGGTTTCTACAAGGAAAGTACTAACTTGATTGTTCTTTATTTCAACGAGAGTAGCAAATGATAGCTTACATTTTAGTTATAGTACGGGACCGTGAGGTCGTTTGGTTACACTTTAATTTTTGATTATCAAACTCTTTGAAGCCAAGAGCAATGATGCATATACTGATATACATCTATTATGTACGTTCCTATATGACATGTTTTAATTTTATTGAATACTGATGAATAAGGCAAGCTGTGAAAAAACAATGATGAATAAGGCAAGTACGTTCCAAATAATGGTGAAAAAAATATTAGGTAAACAGTTGTTCGGCACTACCATTTTTGGATGGAAGCGCTGAAACGAAACGCTACAAATAGAAGAGTTGTGGATTAGCATTTTGAAATATGGCATTTCCTACTAATTTTACGTCCAAATAGCTAAATTACCAAACATCTTCTGACAATTCGCCAACCCGCCATCTTATTATGTTAGTCAAACCCGCCACCTGAATCTGTTGTTGTTAACCTTCTAACATAATCTACTATCCGCTAACCGTTTAATGCTTCAAAAGAAAAATGAAATTACTCTTAGGATGTTTTTACTTGGACTGAAATTTGCTGGTCTATTTTGGTCTGATCTATTTAAGTTTGATCTGGTCTGATCGGGTCTGATCTGGTAAATATCTGATCTCTGTGTATTTTATAACTACTGAAGTATGATCTGATCTGGTTTGATCTGAAGTAGTTAGGACATGTCTAATATGTTTAAGTTTGGTCTAGTCTTGTACTGAAAAAACTCAAAAGAAAAACAGATTAATGGAGTTGCAGACTTGCAGGAGTCTTGAGTTCTTGACTCATCATATCCATACTTGTTTAATTTATTAGGTTTTATGCGACCATTATTGCCAAATTCAATAACAATAATGTCACATAGGTAATCTCGAGATACTCCAACATGTCGACTTTAATCATTACTCCTCTCCAAATGAGTATTATGAATTCTTAATTAATTCGATCTAAATGCTTGCTTTAAAGAAAGTCTCACGATTCACCTGTTTGAATGTTTTGGAATTATCTTAAAAGTATATATGCGACAACAAAAGAATTCCATATTTAAATATCATTACTTTTCGATTTATCCATAAAAATCAATATGGTGTTATTCTATTTTAAAAATATTTTAAAACTCTCCCGCTGGAGATGCACTTTGGATTTAGAGCTCTTCACCCGATACATCACACACCGTCAAAGTTCATAAAATTTCAAATTAATTACACTAATTACAATGTCGAACATTTATCTGCAGGAATTAAACAGTGATCAGACCAGCACAATTATAGTCTTTTAAAAGGACGAGTACAAACGAGTTTAAGGATTTTTTCAGTTAAGAGTGTTCTCAAATCTTCCAAACGAGTTCAATTAAACAAAGCAAACTATATCTTCGGTTTAATCCGATAAAGTATGATAAAAGCAAACTATATCTTCAATTTAAACATAATAGACCAGATCACAAATTTTCAGTTTAACTAAAAACATTCTAATTTGTATGCATTAACGTTCTTTAATTGTATCATTTATCTTACATTTTTTTTAATTTGAGATCAGACTATATTTAAAGATAGATTCTATGGTACCCATAAGGTACTGTACCTTTGTCGACCAATCAGAATCATGCAGTTGAATTATTTAAATTTAAATTTAAAGGGATTTAATGATTTAGACCAATCAAATGCATGGTAGGTACGATGCATCGTTTTTAAAATGGGTACCGGAGTTGTCACCTTAAAATAAAACGTAGTAAGATATAACTAAACCATATTTAGCATATTATTCATACCGGATTATACCAAATCACACTTAAACAAAAATGAAATACGTATACTATCATACTTTATCGGATTAAACTCAAACATATCAAAGCGGAAAATTTAAATCCAAGGAAAAAATGCTTAATGAATGAAGAAACTATAATAGCATGCCTTTAACTATATAAAGTACCAATTCAAAAACAAACTCCCAATACTCTCTCCTAAGTTTTTAAGTTAAACTCCAAAATCTAAAGCAGCTCTCACCCAAGTTCATTTAAATTAAAATGAACAAAGAACACTAATTGAACTTAAACACTAGCCAGCTGTCCGCTAGTTATACCTTTTTTACAGCCTTGTTTAAAAATAGATGTGGGAGCAGTGAAGCTGGGCCACTCCAAATCAAACATATCTCTACTACGAAATTTCAAAGATATCTCTGAAAACGAACTTCCTTCCCTCCACTGAACAAAAGCAGCAGATTCTGTAAGGCCGGCCTATTTACCGGCAGAATTGCAATAATTTCAGTCCGTTCTGCACAGATTGGTGAGTAATTTTGTGTTCCAGTGACTGCAAGTCCTTCTGTTCCTCAAATATCGGTTGTTGTTTGCACTCTCGATCTCACCTCCTTTGCTTTACTAGTTCTATGTTACTTTAAATTTATCAGCAACTATGTTACTTCATGTAACCGATTCCGAATTCACTTGCATGCTGAGGTGTTCGAGTGTTTCAGCTCAATTTTTGTGTATGCATTGTCTATGCAAGGTCGCATTTGACACAATAGTTACGGCCTTTAGGAATTACTATTGTCATTATTAGTTTTAGAGCCGTGAAAGAAATCAATATGTGTGATGGAGATTGAAATACGAAAATGCACAGATGATTCTACGCCCCTTCGAATAATTACTCTGCATTTTCAGATTGAATGATGTGCTCTGAAGTCTAAACCTGTGAATAACTTCAGGTTCATTTTCTTTGATTTTCTTTTGGCTCGGAATTTTGTAGTTTTGAAGCTTTTGTGAAAAAAGTATCATGTCGGGAGTCACCCAACTTTAAATTTATGTCATTTCAAATATTTGTTGGCTTTTTAGCTTTACTGAACATTGGGTACTTTGTTGAACTTTTATTTTTTCGAATGAAGGGAAGATATTCAAGGACGTGAAGACATGGGAAAAAGTTCTTTGATCTGGGGAAACGGCTAATTTTAAGATGTTTTTTCGTTCAAAACACTGGTTTGACTAAGCTGATTTTAGACATCAAGAGGTTGCAGCTATAAATAGAGTAAATTGATTTCTGGTTATTTAGAACCCCTTTGGTAGCCATTTTTTCTTTATTGTGGTTAACAAAGATTACTCAGAATTATTAGAGTAAATTGATTTCTGCTTATTTATTCAGCTGAACAAGATTTTCATTTCAGATAATTCAGCAGATTTAGGCTTGAGTTTTTTGGTTTAATATTAGGTACATATACTTCTTGTCTCTTATTCTGCATTATTTCAGAAATCATGTGCCCAACGGTGTAACCAAGACGTAATTTGGAAAATTCTCAATCAATGTCTTTTTTTGGTCTCTTAGCGGGAACCTTGTTTTTTTTTCTTATACTCCATGTATATCACGTAGCAATAAGTTGCATGCATTAATGCATGTGAATCACGTAGCAGGTATGGTAGAAGAGGTTTATCCAGTAATTACTATTACGTTTTAGTTGTTTTAAATTTACTTATAGATGCTTTGGCAGTTTCTTATTTTCATAATACGACAATTATTTCAAGATTTTGGTGGTGTTGGTATGTTACTTGTGAGGCTGTTAGATTGAAGCACTGAAAGAAGTTTTCTGTGTCATTGAGCCAGGAAGTGAAAAAAAGGAGGGGGGATAAGGAATTAAGGATATCCTAGTCCGATGGAAAGGATTATGGTAGCTGTAAAGGCATCCAAGGAAATACCCAAGACGGCTCTTGTTTGGGCCTTGACACATATTGTTCAACCAGGAGATTGCATTGCACTTCTAGTTATTGTCCCTTCCCATAGTTCTGGTAAGTCCTACTCTGTATTTCTTATTATCAGAAGCCCCATTTAAATAACAAAACTTCAGCAACAAGTTGTTTTCCTTGTGTGGACCAAATTTAATGGGATACTTTCATCCCAGTGAATGCTTGGGAAGAAGAAAACATTGCTAACAAAATCTATTTTGGTTTTCATGCTTGGTTTTACCTTCGATAATGCAAAAAAATGAAATGTGTTCATCATTTTATTTTATTAGTGACGTATTATGTAACCCAAACATGATTCGTGACTCATCAAGTCATTGCAAAGATTGACACTTAATTATTGGTATCACATGTGCAATTGTTAATTTGTTTACTGAATAGCAACGCCAACCAGGCTTCCAACCACCACATTCTTGCTGCTCAAATCCACATTTCCATTATGTGAAAACTTTAGTGATACCCCTTTCATCCTCAGGTAGAAAATGGGGGTTTCCAAGGTTTGCAGGAGATTGTGCCCATGGTCATCGAAGGGCACACACTGGAACTAGTTCTGAGCAGAAATCAGACATAGCAGATTCCTGCTCCCAAATGATCTTTCAGCTTCAGAATGTATATAAACAGAAAAAGGTTAGTTTCTAATCGATAATTAACCACTAAGAATTAGTTTTTCTTGATACTATGCCACTATGGTTAATGATTTCCATAAATATCATTAACCACTAAGAATTAGTTTTTCTTGATACTATGCCACTATGGTTCCCTTCAGATAAATGTCAAGATTAAAATTGTTTCTGGGTCACCGTGCGGGGCTGTGGCTGCTGAGGCAAAGAGGACTCAAGCGAATTGGGTCATTTTCGACAAGTAATATTTATCGTTTTGACCTTTTAGCCTTTCATTCACTTATATGAATTTAGTTTCTCTGAAACACAACCTTATGTAATAATTATTAGCTCGTAGGACCAGTATTAGACTATATCTGTCTATATTCATAGCTATTACTCCGTAATTTTGATTCTGTGCATCATAGATATTTATTTTTTTATTTAATAATTTATTTATTTATTTATTTATTTCAATTGCAGTTATTAAAACGGGAAAATGTAAAAAACAAAACCAAAGCTATCAAAAGAAGAATAAAATCATCCAGGAGCTAACGCTATAGCAAAACATCCATATCCCTAGCCTTTACAACCAGCTTTTACAAATAGCTTTTACAAGCTATTTTTCATGTAACCATTGGATCCTATGAAGTATGAACCAGTCAAAACAGCCATTTTACCCACAAGACCATAATTTTGACAATTATTTTGCATCATGGTTAGCCAATTCATCTATTTATACATTCTTTTTAGGCAGCTCAAGCACGAGGAAAAACGTTGCATGGAAGAGCTGCTATGCAACATTGTAGTAATGAAGCGGTCTCAAGCAAAAGTTCTTCGCCTTAATTTAGTTGGTTCATGTAAAAAGGAGAATGAAGTTTCCAGTTCAATGCCTCCAGAGAAATCTCAATCAAATAGTCCAGAGATACTCACTAGTCCAGAGATATTCACTGCCACTGAAGGTGGCGGTACCCCCTCAGCTTACAGTTCTGATCCAGGAGGAACCTCTCCATTTTTCAACATGTTACCAGGTATAGATGTACAAAGAGGAGCGCTGTTGGATATAAGAGAAGACAACCATGGCAATGAATCACGTTGGGAGAGTGATAGTGAAAACCTGTCTTGCTCCTCAAGAAACGTAATTGTTCATCCATGGATGTCAAACAACTTTGTCAAACCACAATTCCAGTCCCCCTATCACCACCAAGCTCAAATCTATGCAACTAAGGGCATGCTTGAAGATGGCAGATTTGCAGCATCCCCAAGCTTTAGGTCTGACCTGGATTTCACCGGAAATTTGAGAGATGCAATTTCACTTTCCAGAAGTGCCCCTCTTGGTCCACCTCCCTTGTGTACAATATGCCAACACAAGGCACCTGTCTTTGGGAAACCTCCTAAGTGGTTCAGCTATGCTGAGTTGGAACATGCAACAGGTGGATTTTCTCAGACCAACTTTTTGGCCGAGGGAGGGTTTGGATCTGTTTACAGAGGTGTCCTCAATGACGGTCAGGTGGTTGCTGTTAAACAACATAAATTGGCAAGTTCTCAAGGAGATCAAGAATTTTGTTCAGAAGTTGAGGTTCTTAGTTGTGCTCAGCATCGGAATGTAGTTATGTTGATAGGATTCTGTATTGAAGATAGCAGAAGGATGTTAGTCTATGAATACATTTGCAACGGATCTTTAGATTCCCATCTTTATGGTATGTGATGCTCCTACTTTTTATATATCTTATTTATGATGATTATCACGCGTTTCAAATCTAAATAGGATTAGAGGAATTTAATGCCCCACCTGCAGTAGAGTAAATGAATGCTACTTTTATGGAGATGCGCCTCTATGAAGGAGTAGGACATCTACACCATTATAATTACTCCGTATAAAAGAATATATTCCACTTTTAGTCCTGCAGCTATTAGGCCATTTTCACTCTTGGTCTCTGACTTTCATTCTTACACTTTTGGTGCATGAATGAATTTTTTCACAACTTTGGTCATTCTAATCACTTAAGTGACAAAAGTAATAGCGGTGCACCAAAACTGGGAAATGAAAGTTACCAAAAGGGAAAATGTCCTAATATTCATTCAAAAGACTGACCAAAAGTGGAATATTTTCATTCATTAATCTGCAGACTGAATCTTTGTATTTTTTCAACTATTCATTTTTAGCTAGTATTTAGTTTACCTTTTTTATTTAAAAAATAATCAACAGCCTAATTTCAGGAAATAATGAAGAACCCTTATTGTGGTCTGCCCGCCAAAAGGTGGCTGTCGGAGCTGCAAGGGGATTGCGTTATCTTCATGAGGAATGTAGAGTAGGATGCATTGTTCACCGAGACATGCGGCCCAACAACATTCTTATCACCCATGACTTTGAACCACTGGTATGTGAAATTTATATTATGCTAGCTCAGGCTATAGTTTTCAGTACTCATGCTCTTTCACAAATTTTGGTTGGATTTTGATTACTGTTGCTCTTGTTATCATTATTCTTGGTAAACAATGAATGAGATAGCCATCGACCTTTCATGGAGGGCAACTAGTTGGGTTGGTGACATGAGGGTTACACTTTTAATTAATTTAGTTAACCCCTTTAAATTCATAGAAAAAAGCATCACAAAATATAACACAGATTCCATTTACAAAGAAATGAGGTGATGAAATTGGAAACTAGGATACGTTTTAACTTGAATGAAATTTTGCAGTTTAGCAGATTTAGGGTGTCAATATTTGCATTGTATTTTTATTATTTTCTCGGATCGCTAGGTTGGAGACTTCGGTCTAGCTAGATGGCAACCTGATGGAGATACAGCAGTCGAAACACGTATTCTTGGGACATTTGGGTTTGTGCTCACTTCCCCTTGCCCTGATTACCATTTTTGGGTATGGATTGTTTTACGTATAAAAAAACTAACTCTTTTGGGTATCTCTGTCCAGGTACTTGGCTCCAGAGTACACTCAAAGCAGCCAGATCACAGAAAAAGCCGATGTTTACTCATTTGGTGTGGTACTTGTTGAGCTTGTCACCGGACGCAGAGCAGTGGATCTAACCAGGCCCAAAGGCCAGCAGTGCCTCACAGAATGGGTTTGTTTGATTTGCTTGCTTCTTTCCAAATATTGGATTACTGGGTCCTTCTAAGTGCAACCCAATCATATGCATAGAATCTATTTTGTCATAGATTACCTATTTTGTGTTTGGGTTTCCATTCACAGGCCCGTCCATTGTTGGAAGAATATGCCGTTGAGGAATTGATCGATCCCAGGCTAGAAAACTGCTATGTGGAGCATGAGGTTCATTGCATGTTACATGCTGCATCGTTGTGCATACGTCGTGATCCTCAGGACAGGCCACGCATGTCTCAGGTATAAACACATCCATGGCTATGGTTGTGTATTTGTCAATCTGTCTTGTGTAAACCGTAAAAGAACAATGCTGTGAAATTTTTTAGATGCCAGTCAGATGACAGATTTGGGCTAGTTGGTAATGGGTTGGGTTTAGAATGATATACAGCGACCATATATAGTGTTACTTTCTCTGGGAAAATAATGGTCTTGGACCTCCCTTTCACTTAACCAAACAATATGTCTCTGTTCCCAAAAGGAGTAAAAGGTTGGGAGGCAAGACTAAGGCTACGGCTGGGATTCAAACCTAGTACGGAAAAGAAATAAAATGATGAAGAAAATGATTTTTGTTTGGTTTTACCTTAGGAATTATGAAGGAAAGTTGTATTGAACCTTTAAATATTTACATATATCTAGATTTCCCAGCTTCATAAAATAGAAAACATAAATAAAAAGAGTTTGAGCCAAATTATCAAAATAAATTTCTTCCGTGTATTCTCTTTCATTCCAGATATCACCCTCCTTATCATTTTCCGAGTTCCAAACAGATCATTATACTATGTTTGGATCCGGAAAAAGCTAGGGGGAGGAAAGAGAATGCACAGGAAAGTGCTTTATTATGCTTGGACTCGCCTCAGAAAATCCAAAAGAAAATAAAATATGTCTCAAGAAATAAGTTTTTGCTTAAGTTTTGATTCCTTAGTATAAATATAATAGAAAATATAATAAAATGAATGCAATCAAATAATTAAAAATTAACTAATTAAGTTTGAACCAATATTTTAGTTTCCTCATCTTTTTCTTCTATCCAAATATCTCCCTCTTTTGTCCCTCCCTATTTCCATTCCCTAGGATTTCCACATTCCAAATGGAGCCTTGGAGTCTTAGGGAAGTATGTTTATGCACTTCCCCCTTCCCCATGAAAACAACCAAGTAGGGAAAAAGAATATCTTAATGCCTTACTAAGCCTTGGCTACATTAGAAATTCTGGGAAAACTTGTGCAACGATGTTATTCTTCAACTTCGTGCAACGCTATATACAAACCCATGAGCGGTTTGTATATAAGTTGGCACATCTCTTTAATTTCAAGATTGTAATGGGAATGTTACATTCATGAAGGTACTTCACATGCTTGAAGGGGACATCATCATGGACTCAGGTCGCATATCTACCCCAGGACAGAGCAGAAGGATATGGACTGATGCCTCCCCACAGTATCAAAGATACAGCGGCCCTATGTTAAATGAAGTGCTGGAGGGTTTTACTCCCAAGCTCTCCTTGGATATATATACTAAAATCCCCAAGTGGGAGAAAAAAGATGATGATATAGCCACAGGTCAGGAAATTCAAGTTTTCCCATGATGTCTCACCATTCTAGTGAGGCATCTGCGCTGTGTTTAACAGTTGAAGAGGACAGGTGATTTCCACCCTTTTCTGTATACATGTGCTATATATACTCTACTGCACATGCAGTATTCATGCTTTGTGTGATTTAGATGGAGATAGAAAGTCACTCCATTTCCTTCTCATTCCATGTTCATTTATAGTTTGTTGTTGGTGAGGTTTCACACCACCCCCTCTTGTGAAAATTGTTCATTCACATCACAAAGAAGGTTAAGAGGGGGGGACATCAGGTGTGAAGAAATTACTCTATAGTACGTTATATGGTTAATTAGAACAAAACCACTGTCATGTATAACATTTGTACTATAGTAGACGGCAGAAAATGTAAAAACGATCCATGATGGAATGACATTAAGTTTTGTTCAAAATGTAATATTTCGTAGTCTAAGTTAATAGGACTCTATTTTTCTGAAGGTAATAGAGTACTTTAAAAAAACAATTTTTTGATAAAATACCACTTCTGGTCATGTCTCATGTGTAGAATGCAAGACTGTCTCACAACATGAGATGTTAAAGGCGGAAAGATATGTGAGATTATGTTAAGTAAGACTATCATTTTGTACCCGTTTGTAAGACTGTCTCACAACCCGTTTGTACGAAGTGTACTGATACACAGATTAATTTCCTTGCTCACACAAGTGAAGAGATTAAATGTTTGCGTACAAGTTGGTGTTGGTTTGCTAATAGAATACCCCTAAAATGTCAGAACGAAGCTAAATTTTTGTTCAAATACATTTTAAAATTATGGTTTGGTGAATACGTCTTTTTTTAAAAGAACATTAAGGACGTCCGACAACCGTTCTTGTTATAATGGAAGTCTTGTTGGGGAACAGTTGTTCAACGTCATAAAAGCCATCAAATTGATATCTTTATTATTGAAAATTTCAAACTTTCTTTTACGATTTACTCTTCGCTAACAGATTCAATAGTAGTAAATCTTGACAAGTAAAATTTAGAAAAATTACACTCAAATTGAAGCTGGTAAAATATTAAATTTGAAAGATTTTGAAAAATTAGACTCTGAATATCCTCCCATTTTTACTCTCAAAGATGGAGGTGATGTTCAAGTATGGAACATTGAAATCATAAAATGAGCATTTTTGCATTCAGAGTATTATTGAATCAAAATGAGGAAATGTTAAAGAAAAAAGTATAAAAATACTCAAATGTAGAACTACAACAGGATTATCTTGTAATTTGCCAGCAACAGTACCACACTAAGAGAGCATCTTATGCCCTCTGCTTCTATTGTTGAAGTATCCATGTTTTGATTTAAGCATTCAGCCAATAACTTCATAACATTCCCTTCTGTGAAAATATATAGAAACCGAAATGGAGCTTTAAGAAGATGAAGATGATTTTAGTTTTTAGAGCTTATTTTTTCTTCCAAAAACTAAAGCAACAGATCTACATTTACAACAAAAGCCATAAATATGATAACAATTTAAAAATAACAAGCAAATAATTGCGCAACAAAAATACATAAACACATACAGTACATTAAGCCAATGGAGCAGCCGGAGGATGGCTGGCCAATAGACCGCCGGATTCCTCATCCAAGTACAAATCGTCGGTCTTCCTGAGAGCGCCATGAGCAACAACGACCAGTGCTCCGATTATCAGAGATACGACAATATTCCAGGTGGCGTTGGTAAAGAAGAGCAGAAATATCGTGAGTACGGACATAACAATCAGCACCACACGATCGGTAATCTCGCGGTGGAAGATCACTAAAGGCTCGTCGCGGAGGAAGTAGAGGAATAGCCACGCAGCCATTAGGGCGATGAAAACGATGAGCGAGATCGGATGCCATAGGAGGCTGAGGAAGAGAATCAGGAGGACGACGAGGGCGTAGTTCATCCGGAAGTAGCTGATGTTGATTTTGAATCGAGCCACCGCGTCGTGGAAGTTGGAGGGGAGGCGGACGGAGTGAATGTCGAACATCTCCCGCCATGGCCGCCGCGTGGCTAGCCCCTCCTTTATCGTGTCCTTCGCGCGGGAGATGTACTCCACGGTGGCACCGCCAGCGGAGGACGTCGGGATTGTGCCGTAGGTCGTCATTTCCCGGCGGAATTGGATCAATCGGGAAAATCAAATCAAGTCCGTGCGATGCGATGCACAGAATAATAAATGACGCGGGTTATCTATATATCGCGGACTGGCGGATTGGTTAGATTGAGCGGGCCCCACACCACTCTGGTGATTCGCTGTATGAGAGATTAGCGGCTGGGATTGATGGGGGTTCACGGCAAGGAACATGAGTCCGAGCCACTGCAGAGCATGAAAGGGCTGAACTGGCTTAGCTTTATAGCACCTGGAACGGTACCACCCGGTTGGGAAAGTTCATTTCTATGGCCCATTAGTGAATGGACTGTTGGACTGGACTGATTGTAGTTTTACTGCCCTTTACTTTTTACCTAGAAGGCTAACCACTAAAATCAGTGGGACCATATTTTATTAAAAAAATAATGAAACGGGATACAAAAGAGGGGGACTAGGCCAAAACCTCTTCAGCATAAACGAAATAAATAGAAGTTGGGGGAGGACTAGACCAAACCCAATTTAAAATACATCAGCTATTTTTTAGTCATTGTAGTCATTTTTTATAAAAAATCCGTTTTTGTAAAGGACATGACCACGGTCCAAGGGGAAGGTTCTTCTTCAGGCATCCAGTGACGGTGGAGTGTATCCTATTGTAGTCATTATTCTAAAACTCGCTAGTCGCAAGTCGGACGGTTGAGGGGCGCCTAGGCGGCCCATTAGACCAATTTTTTGGCAGATTAGGCCGATTTTTGCCCGACTAGGCCTCCATAGTTTGGGCTGATTAGGTCGATTAATCGGTTTGATTAGGCAGATTTTTAGAACAGCGAATGGAGTATATAAATTTATGTCCAAAATAAATACAAGAATTAATTATTAATGTGTTGAGTTTAATCCAACACGATATAGTAAATATATGTATGAACACTCAGTTTTTACGTGGAAACCCGAAAGGGAGAAAACCACGGGACTTTTTAGGCTAATGTCCAAGCCCTCTCTTTCTCATTAGGACTCTCCTCACCATTACATTGTACAAGCTCCCATTAATGGAGTATTGAGCTAAGTCTAAAAGAAGGAGGAAGATGAAGCTAAAAGAGGATCCCCTAAACATGGAGGGAAGCCTCATATTTATAGGGGAAAGGGGAAGGGTGCCCTCCACTCTAATGGGCCAAACGGGCCAATGCCGGGCCTAATGGCCAAAGTGGGCCAGAAAGGGCCGAAATGGACCTAGCTGCTCGAGCTCCGTACTGGATAATGTCTTGGGCTCCTGAACAGTAATAGGCCGGGATAATATATCCCAACATAATGTATAAAATAAATACAAGAAATTGATCAAGTAAGATAAGCTTAAGACACACGTAGTAGAATACACAATTATTATGTGATATTAACTGTTGATTTTAGTCGTTAGGATTAAAATTCGATTTATGGTCGACTAGGCCTCCATAGTTTGGTCTGATTACGTCGATTTTTAGAACAGTGAATGTAGTATATAAATTTATGTCCAAAATAAATACAAGAATTAATTAATGTATAAAATAAATACAGGAAATTGATCAAGTAAGATAAGCTTAAGACACACGTACTAGAACACACAATTATTATGTGATATTAACTATTGATTTTAGTCGTTAGGATTGAAATTTGTAGAAAAATTGACTCATGAACTCGTGTCAATTAGGGATGGACACGAGTTGGGTCGGACCGGGCTCGGCGGCACCGGATCTTGAAAAGTGGAGCTCGATACTGGTCCGGTGTATTTCGGTACTGGTTTCGATTCGGGCCCAAACAGTATTGGACACGGGTCGGTACTCACCCATTTAATTAAAAAAAGCCATTGGGCCAGGATCGGGCCCAAAAAATCAATCCTGAAGCCCGTCCATTATAACCACCGATTCAGGTACCGGGCCGATACCGGAACCGGTTAACCAGGCCGGGCCAAATAGTACCTGTCCTGGCTCAGTCTTGGGTCGGGCTTCCCAACCTGCTCCATCCCTACTTTCAACACTAATCTTACACTAAGATTAATACATAATTAACAATATTTATTCTGTAGTAAAATTTAACTTTGAGTACGTACTATCTCAAGGTTAAAATTAAACTACTGTCTTCATCTTCGAACTTTGTCTCGATTAGTTTTCGTCAATTCCATTAAGTTTGTTTCATATCATATTTGGTAATATTTGAGTGATTACAATTTTTTCTTACTTTATTCACACTTTATAAGTTCAATAATAATACTTAATATAAACAAATTAAGAATTTGAGATAATTGAATTCATCTACGGAGTATAATTTAATGAAAGAAGTGTAAGATTGTTTATATAAAGTAGTAGTAGTATATGCTAAGCCTACTTTACTTGATCCTCTACCTCTACTATGGATAAATTATAAATATCCAGAACAATAATGGCGTACTTTAGCGTTGGGGGGACAGTGTTGAGGTTGAGACGAAGAGATCGCAACGAAGGCCGGGCACTACCCACACGTGGCTTGTCTGAAGCTGCTTCCTTCATTTTTGAACTAGAAATGCTTTTTCAATGCACTTTACTCTGTTTATATCAAAGTGTTTGTTAAATTTATTTTTTATCATCAATTTTATTGAACATATTTTTATACGAAGTAAGATAGATATTATCTACCTTCTTTAACATCTGTCAATTTACATTTTTAATGAAAATTTGGATCATTAGTAATGGATAGGGGTGGGAAAAACCGAACCGAAACCCGGAAACCGACCCTGGACCGACCCGAATTATGATCCCGGTCCGGGTTTTTTCTTTTTAACCGGCCCGAACTAAAAAAAAACCCGGACCGAACCGAAAATTCCGGGCTCATTAACGGGCCTTAAAATCTATAACCCGGCCCGGACCGAAAAAACCCGAAACAATTAGTTTTAATATGAAATTAATATAGCATATGAATATAAATAAAATATTTCCTAATATATGATTATAATCACGGTGGATAAAAAAAGATTTAGTAACTTTTAGTGACTACAAATATGTTGAATTTGTTTAGCGTAATGATGACCATGAGAATATATTTATAGCAACTCTTGTAAATTTTTTATTTATAAAATTTATTTCGTAATGTTTTTAAGAAACCTATATTATTTATATATATACATCTTACATAAAATATTAAGATAATTATCTTCTTTAAATTTGAATTGTTGGTGATTTTGGAGACTAATATTTGTGTTATTATTTGCGCTTTGTATTTTTGATTAATTTTATTTGAAAATAAGTGTTAAAATATAAAAGAACAATGACATATTTCACGACCGGGCTTTAACCGGTCCAACCCGAACCCGGACCGAACCCGGGCTACCAAAAACCCGACTCGGACCGAATATAATGGGCTTTGTTCCGGTCTCTAATTTTCATAACCCGAGACATTCCGGTTAATTTCCGGGTTTAGCAAAAACCCGACCCAGACCGGACCGATCCCACCCCTAGTAATGGATAATAAAATGAATGCTATATTTGGGAGAACAAATTGAAGTCTTTGGAGCTACATAAAAGTTGTTGAATTTGAGGAGACTATATTCTTTTTTTCTATATAATTTTTAACCTTAGTTATAAAATATATGTCAAATGTAATTTTTCTATAAAAAATACTCCCTGTATAGTTTTTTGACAACATTTTCAACATATTTTTTCATAATGTATCCGAGGATTCCGATTAGATCAATTCATCCGCAATTTTAATACTCCGTAATCAATTCGACAATTTAGAGGCTGTTTGGACTTTGGAGGACACAAAATGGGTAATCCTGAATATGCAAAAAAAAAAATACCAAAGACCCATTAATGAGAGAGAAAATTCTTCTCCACAATAATTATTCCGCTTATCTTATATGTAATCTTAAGTAAAAGCACTACGACTATGTTTGGCAGGCATAAGTCCCTGACTTCTAGCTTTTGTACTGTTCAAAAAGTTCCTAAAAGCTTCTAGTTGTGTATTTGGCATGACAATATTTAAGAGCTTTTCAAAAATTAAAAGATCTTTTTTGAGATGCTACCGGGAGTAGCATCTAAGAAAAGCTAGTGACTTTTAGTATTAATTAATCCTAACAGCTTGTATACCAAACCGAACTAAATCAAACAGTCAGCTTTTCATCAAACAGCTACCACCTTTTATTTTTAAGATCTTTTCAGTCACTAAAAGCTAACAGCTATTAAAAAGCTCACAAAAGTATCTTTTCAGCTAGTTGTGCCAAACATGCCCTAAATGGGTTGTTTTTGTACACTCGTCTGTTCCACATTTTGGTACACACTTTTTATACATTTGTCTGTCTTACGCACACAGAATTGTCTGTTCACGCGCACAAAATTGTTTGTCCCAAGCATTTTTCAAGGAACAATGAGCTCTCATGATGATGTGCGATTGAAGATGCTAGACATGTACGGAACATGAGCCAGTTTTTGGGAAACCCTGGGCGGCAAACTCTTGAATCATCTAATCTTCAGGCTTCTTCTCTCAGATTGACAAAATTTTTATGAATGCGATGTTCAATTCTATGGAAAGTAAGAGTATCAAAGATTTTTGCTATGTTGTCTCTTTCTCTCTCTAGAGGTTGTGTCTTTCTTGTCGGTGCAACCAATTGAGTAGTTGACAAGGCTGCTTCAACCTAGTTTTTCTGAAGTTTCAATTACTCGCCTACCTCCTGAACCACAAGAAAAAGATAGTGTTCAACTGGATTTCCTTTTTGGTGGCTGGTAAAACTGTTGATCCAGACAATTTCTGCTCAATTGAGTTTCCTTTGTTGGTTATTAATGTATCATCCCATTGTGATCTTAAGTCATTCGTTCTCTTGTATTTTTGTTATCTTTTAATAATAAATTAGTTATTCGTTTTTTGAGAAGAAAAAGTCAAGTTTACCCTTTCATGGGGTTCGAATGGTTTGAATAAGTAATTCGAAGTATGCATATATATTAAGATAAAAGATCTAATATCATTGAAAATATAGAAGTTAAAATTGGGTAAGAAGGACGACAATGAATAGATGCCAATTGCCAACAGACACCTAGTCTTCTTTCATTCATGTGAGATGTGGGTGAATAACGGACCCTTCGCAGCTATCCTTTGAAGTTTGAATAGATATCAGTTTTTTCTTCTTTTACCAATGACAAGTCTCTCACGTTAAGAGGACTAGAATATGTTTATCAAGGTCTCGTATATACACATGGTTTATTTATATTGACTACTAGTATTTTTTTTATGCATGTTGAGCATCTAAAATAA